TTTTTACCAATAAAATCTTTTTTAAAAATTAAAAAAAAAAAAAAAGAACTCCAAGGTCCTTTCCAGCTGTGTTCTAATTATTATTATTATTGTTGAAAACCAGCTGGGAAAGTCCCAAAGAATGATCACATGACCCTAGGGCATTTAGGATACTTTCCAAGGTCGCGAATTTTGATCACATGAAAGCAGGGATGCCACAGTGGCCCTAAACGTGAGGACTGGTGGTAAAAGTCAACTTTTTCAGTACCGCTGTAACTTTGAGTGGTTGCTAAATGAACGTTTTTTCGTCAAGGACGACCTGAACTCACCTTGAAGAGTCTTGTTTTCCTTCTTCACGGATTCCAGCTGCTCCAGGGCTTCCTCATAGGCCGTCTTGAGCTTGAAGTTCTCCGTCATGTACATGCGACATTCCTTCTGGGAATTGTCTACCTCCAATTGGAGCTCCTCACACTTCTGCTGCCATTCAGCCATCATCTTGTCAAAGGCCCGTTGCTTCTTATCCAGGGCAGCACAGGCTGCGTTGGACTGGGAAGGAGAAGAAGACAAGCGTCACTCTCAGCCTTGAGGTCCACCACGGATGATCTTGCGTGCGCTCCAAGCCTTGTCTCTCGGTCTTCGTCATTCTCTGTTTCTGAGGTTCCTTCGAACAAGAAACCCGTCAGGTTTCCCAAAGATGCCCTAATAAATTCGTGAACCTCAAGCCAAGTTTCAAAAGAAAAAAAATCCAGTCATTTATTAGGAGCACCATTTCGGCAATACCGCATTGCAGTCAGATCTGACCGCGTTTTAATTATGGCTGAACATTGCCCCCGCTTCTTCCCTGCCCTCAGTCTGTGTCATAAATCACATTCACCAACGAGGTGCACGCCTCACAAGGCTGCTGTGGTAATGAAAGATCCGACTCTACTCGAAGGTATGCGTGGAATGCGCTCCCCACCTTTTCCTCACCATGGCAACTTTATGATTTGACAAAACCAACTTCTTTGGTACTGATGTTGCCTCTGGCAGGATATTTATTGGTACCAAGGGTGCCTATCATTTGTGGTTCACCGTTTAATCTCGGTGGCGTCATTTTGGGTAATAGGATAAGGTTAAATCATCGTATTAAATCAGAAGTGGCCAATCCTAGCCCTTTTGGGGGGAATCCATTTTTTGCTCTTTCTAGAGCCGTCCAAAGTCACATCTCTAAGATTTTACAACAAATCCAATTGTTGCTCTTCTGTTTTAAAATAAAACAGAAACAAAGGACAAATAGGCTGAAAAACAGCTTCTATCCCAGGGCAGGAACTATATTGAATTCTACAATATAGTGCAATATTAATGGCAGTATCGGATTTTCAATTTTAATTATATAGAACGTGAAGGATGGGTGCTTTGTGTTTTTATTTTTATAGTTGTAATGTACACTGAAGATGGCATTTAATTTCATTGTATGATGTGCAATGACAATAAAGTAAAAAAGTAAAAAGTAAAGTAAAAAGTAAAAGTAAAGTAAAGTAAAAAACTAAAAACAAACAAACTAAAAACTAAAAACTAACTAAAAACTAACTAAAAACTAAAAACTAAAAACAAACTAAAAAACTAAAAAACTAAAAAACTAAAAAACTAAAAAACTAAAAAACTAAAAAACTAAAAAACTAAAAAACTAAAAAACTAAAAAACTAAAAAACT